GATGCAGCTGCGGAGTCCGTATCCAAAGGGAATGGAGCCAAAGTTGTCGACTCGGTCCAGGTGTCCATGCCGCAGCCAGCGTTGCGGGCGGAAGTCTTCCGCCGCAGAGAAATAATCCTCGTCGTACGAAGTGGAGTAATGACACAAAGCCAGCTGGGTCTGATCAGAGAGACACGTGGGGGGGAAATAAAATGAATCAGTGTGGCGTAGGTTTCCTCCCACACTCCAAAAGACATACTGGAAGGTTAAATGGCTGCAATCTAGATCGGCCCTGTATGTATGTATGTATGTATGTATGTATGTATGTATGTATGTATGTATGTATGTATGTATGTTAGGGACCATAGATTGTAAGCTCCTGGAGGGCAGGGACTGATGTGAATGGGCACTGTGTTAAGAGCTGTGTAAATAGTCAGCATCATACACAGGGGCGTAACTAGAAATCACAGGGCCCCATAGCAAAATTTTGTATGGGGCCCCGTGATTGCTAGTTATGCCCCTTGCAGAGCCCACCTGAGAGTGACCCTGCAGAGCCCACCATAGACTCTCCATAGTGGGCTCTGCTGCGGCCGCTGCACACATCACTGAAAGCTTGTCAGTGATCTTCACAGCCGCTGCTGAGCTGTGTCAGTGACAGCCAGCACCCTCACATGCCATAGCGACCCACACGGCATCAGAGGGATGCCCTGGCCGGGCCCCCCTCTGCCTGGGCCCCATAGGGGCCACCTGGGTCGCTATGGCGATTTTTACGCCACTGGTCATACAAAGGTAAATTTTTTGAATTCAGGTAACAGCCCTGCACTCATTCGCCTGCTGCCATTTCTTCCTTTTCAACAGATACAAACTTACCCCTTTTGGAATGAAATATCCTCCCAAAACCAAGTCGTCCTGGGTAACCCGACCATTTCCGGGCAAAACTGGAAACAACCTGTCAATAGAGTACAGGTGAACATGAAACGCAGAAGAATGTATTTAAAAAACACAACGCCCCAAGAGGAATTACTCTTCTGGGTTTTTCCCTGTAAAAAAACGTTGCTTCCAAGTAACAGATCTCACTCCTGGTACCCGCAGTACATCATGTGATCACTCGTTGTATACCTCAGGGTCTCCTTCAGAACAGCTCGGATTAGGGGAAGTTTCGGCACATCCTCAGCAGTGGGTATCGTGTCTTTCCCGAGATTCTGGACGATCTGATTGTACACCATCTGCTGCACCTGAGGGTTCTTCGCCAAGAGGTAGGTGGCCCAGGACAGTGTAAAGGAAGTCTGGGAAGACAAAATGTGTCACACCAAAATTTAAAATGTATGAAAGAGGTGGGGGGGGAAGAGAGAAGAAGAGGAAAGAGAGAAGAAGAGGAAAGAGAGAAGAAGAGGAAAGAGAGAAGAAGAGGAAAGAGAGAAGAAGAGGAAAGAGAGAAGAAGAGGAAAGAGAGAAGAAGAGGAAAGAGAGAAGAAGAGGAAAGAGAGAAGAAGAGGAAAGAGAGAAGAAGAGGAAAGAGAGAAGAAGAGGAAAGAGAGAAGAAGAGGAAAGAGAGAAGAAGAGGAAAGAGAGAAGAAGAGGAAAGAGAGAAGAAGAGGAAAGAGAGAAGAAGAGGAAAGAGAGAAGAAGAGGAAAGAGAGAAGAAGAGGAAAGAGAGAAGAAGAGGAAAGAGAGAAGAAGAGGAAAGAGAGAAGAAGAGGAAAGAGAGAAGAAGAGGAAAGAGAGAAGAAGAGGAAAGAGAGAAGAAGAGGAAAGAGAGAAGAAGAGGAAAGAGAGAAGAAGAGGAAAGAGAGAAGAAGAGGAAAGAGAGAAGAAGAGGAAAGAGAGAAGAAGAGGAAGAGAAGAGGAAAGAGAGAAGGAAAGAAAAAAACAAATATACATACATATATACAATGGTCGCACCAAGTCATTTTGTATTACTTTGAACATGTAAATTATTTGGTCTATTGACATATTCCTGTAAGCAAATGTATCAATTCTGAAGTCATCCAGCGCAAGCAAATGTTAACTACAGCCGTACATAATACAATGTTGCTGCAATTTCAGCATTCACCACTAGATGGCCCTGCAATGCCACCAAATGCACACCAGCCGAGGTCAGCGCTACTTTATTTCAGCAGCTTTCTCAGCTGTTAAGACTTTAAAAGTGACACTAAAAACTCAGAAGTTAAATCTTAAAAATGCATTTTAGTACCCTAACTATGAACAATGGGGGGGAATTTATCAAAACTGGAGCAAAGAGAATCTGGAGCAGCTGTGCATGGCAACCAATCAGCTTCTCTCTTCAGTTTGTTCAGTTAAGAGTTGAAAATGAAAGAGAGAAGCCGATTGGTTGCCATGCACAGCTGCTCCAGATTTTGTCTGCTCCAGTTTTGATAAATTCCCTCATTGTATCTTATTTGTGTATCACTCGGCTGTAGATCCTCCAATCATCTCTGAATTGGTGCCGACACTGTCCTTCCTTCTGGAGGGGGGCTACGTCTGTTCCCCATGGTCCCCGTGTGTGTTGTAAAGTAGTCACCGCTCCAAGCTCCTCCCCCCGAGATGGACTACAGTCTCATGTTGGGGGACGCTTGCACCAGTTTTGTAAATTGCTCAGTTCTACTGGCTGACATCTGAGACAACCAAGAAGAAACATTTCGGACAGCCACATGGATCTTGTTTCAGGGGGATGCTTGCACCCGTTTCCAGAACACTATGCAGAGACTATGTGCCGGGGAGGAAGAACGGCTTGTGCTCACTAATTCTCCAATCCTCTGAGAAAACTGCTCTGCCTTGGCTGGATCTCATGCCGAGAGTTCTGTTTATGTTCCGTAGGGGAAAACACTTTGCCATCATCTGTATAATGTCACCTTCTGAAAGAATGAAAATGGAGGCGGAAAATGAAGCCAACATAAATCTTCGTAGTTCCACATCTGTGACACGCAAAGCAGCCTCGTGCCTCTCCAACGTGGGCGAAACTACAGAACCAGCACCCCACTTTATAACTGGTAGGTCCCGGGAATTGAAGTTCTTAAAGAGACCCTTTCACCAGGTGTAATACATACACATACACACATACTCTCCCAAATTTATATGTAGCCTCCCCCCATTTATATGTAGCCTCCCCCCATTTATATGTAGCCTCCCCCTATGCTTGTGTGGGTTTCCTCCGGGTACTCCGGTTTCCTCCCACACTTCAAAAGAAATGCTGGAAGGTTAATTGGCTCCTGTCTAAAGTGTCCCTCGTACATATGCATGCGAGATAGGGACCTTAGATTGCAAGCTCCTTGAGGGCAGGGACTGATGTGAATCTGCACTATGTAAAGCACTGTGTAAATTGTCGGTGCTATACGAGGCCTGTAATAAATAAATAGCAGGCCGCCATGCATTATGAATTAGCATCTGAGCTTTCCTCACATGAGCACAGCGACACCCAGATGGATACTCTGCCAACAGAAAGAGAATGCATGTGTCTGGCACTATAGAACAATTTTTGGAAATCTACCTCCGTCCTCCTAGGAAACACGGGGCTCTGCAGTGTCCGGAGCTCGCTAGTTCCTCTTCCTAAAGCTCGCTCTACCATAATAACTCTGCCACAGGAGGGCAGCAATGAGAGTGTTGGGGTGTCATCACCCCACAGGAATACATGAAGAATGCAACAGACCAGTCCAGGTCAGAGCTTTTGCTGTGAGAGCAGCGAATGGGAGGGGAGATGATCACCCCCATCGGGGTTAATGACGGCTGCAACATCCAGGCTGCAATTTAAACCCCTGCCACAATATAGAGTTCCACCTTAAATCTGAGTTTTACATATTCACGTGAGGCTAGAATGAGCACTTCATATTAGATGGGACGACAGCCTCTTGCCTGGCGACACCAGCGCACAAACACTGGGGGGAAATTATCAAAACTGGAGCAGACAAAATATGGGAGCAGATGTTCACGGCAGCCAATCAGCTTCTCTCTTTCATTTTCAAATCTTCACTGAACAAACTGGAGAGACGCTGATTGGCTGCTGTGCAAAGCTGCTCCAGTTTTGACAAATCCCCCCCTTGGTATTTTCAGTTCTGGCAGAAAGGAATTTAAAAATAATATCAGGGGGTGCCGCCCCCCCCCCCCCCCCCCCCGCCACCTCTTATCCAC